CCCCACTCTTTCCGTCGCGTTGGTCTAAGTCCTCGAGGCGGAGAGAAAGGAACCAGAGTGATGGACGGCTACCTGTGGCGTTGCCAGGTGGCCTCGGTCACGTGGGTTCGTGACATAAGGGGTAAAAGAATCTTGAGGTCATGGGGCTTCCCCTGACCTGGATTCTATCTCTCCGTCACCGGCAGAATCGCTGATTAATGCCTACAGTTCAAAATAGTCATTTTGACTGACCGGAGTCTATGGTGGGTATGAACTATGTGAATAGGCGGGTTCGAAGAACCCTCTCCTAAATCCAAAATTTGTGCAACTTTTAAGTTATATTATTAACAAATTTGACAAAATCTCTGAAAACTCAATCATTTAAAAAAACTATGGAAGTAATCATTTTTGATGTCTGACCATAAACATTTTATAAAAAAAACATAATTGATATATTTTGTATATGCCTCTTAAATTATTACTTTTTACTTTGATGGTTTCTAATAAGGTGTAGAAGACGATCTATTATAACCTATAATTATGAAGGTGTATGGCCATCAAGCTCTAGATAAGAGCAAGGAAGCCAACCCTTCTATCCTGTCGTGTGTTTGGTGTTTCCCTTAACTGTGTAACCATAGTAACTGGTACAGCAAACAGAACATGACAGGTCTTGCGGTTCTCTTGTTCTCACGCAGCCATTTGCATCTAGGGTAAATTGATATGAAAGGAGTGCATAACTGGTAATATTGCGTATATGATATGAAAACATAATTAGATTATGTTTTACTTTGACAGCACAACAGAGCCGAGGTGATCACAGATGATGCTGTGACGTCATTTAGGAGAGCCGCTAAGTGGGCTCAGAGTGGTTTGGTGGTGAGTACAGGACCTCCAATAGAAACCAGTACACAAGATAACGGTGGTAGAGATAAAAAGAAAATAACCAGTGAAGCTGTGTGTCGAGAGAAAAATGCAGAACTGGCAAGGTGATCTTTCTATTAATCTTATCTGATATGACACTATACTGTGGATCATTGACTTATTTTTTATCTTGGATCACATCAGACTTGGAATTAAATACATGACTTGTACATATGCTATATACTATATATTTTTATCCATAACTTAATATATGACCAACATCTGTTCTCATACACACCAAACCCGGGACACTAACACGCTTATTTATTTGAATATTCCTACACTGCACTCTTACATAGATTGGTAAATAGAAGGCCATTTCTGGCATTATTATTGTTTTGATTTGTAGTTACTGGTTATTCATTATTTAAATGACTATTTTTCAAACGAGAATTGCTATATTAAATGATTGATTACACAATAAAATAAAAATGTTTCTTGATTTGTTAGAGAGGCATATTATTGTTGTGTCTGGGTAAGATTTTCACTCTGATACATATATCTATGTTTACTTACAGGACTGACCCAGTGAGACCATTTATAAGTGGTCATGTAGCTAATAGTATGGCATCTGAGGTCATAGGATTGTTACATGGATTGTTGATGGCACCGGAAACTAGCACAGCACAAATATGGGCATCTGCTATGGAACGTGTAAGTGAGGATTTGCTCCACTACTGAGCATGTCATATTCATCATGAGAGAAAAATTCTCGTTGTAAACAATGAAAAAATGATATTTGCAAAATTTGTTACACCATATATAACCAAAAGACAAAGCAAACATGTTGACTGTTTTTTTTTTTGGGGGGGGGGGGTGAATCATTATATTCGAACCTTCGTAAATAAATAAGTAATTCGACTGTTTCACTTTTAATTCTGAGCTGAATCAGCAAATCAAATAAATACTGTAAAATGATTAATTTTCACTGGGTTTAAATTACGCTGATTTACCATTTCAGGCATATTCAGTCGGTTTTAAATTCACGGTTTAATCATTTAGATAATGTGTTCTATGCTAAATTATACATATTCACTGGGTTTTAGTTTAGCGCATTTTCCAGTCAGCGAAATAAGCAAAATTAAAACCCAGTGAATAATTAACCCCTTTAGAGTGCCATAATTATTACTGATGGTTATTCAATGTGATCAGTAAATTATACACTTTGCTAATATACAGAATTAATTTTATTCACAGGTACTGTCTCATGCTTTGACTTGTGTATCGCAGTTGACGAGTACCTTGGTGAACTGTGGTGACCTTTTGACCTCATGCACCCATGGCGATATAATTGATAGTTTAACATCAGTATGTCGTCAAGCGGTCGCTGCACTGTGTGCCCTGGGTGGCTTCCGAGAGAGCATCAAAGTAGGATCCAAAGTTGATGTAAGTCTGGTGCTGTTACAGAAGCTCTCATATTTACTCAGTCTGTTTTGAAATGGCCGATAATCTAGTTGTGAGCAAGAGTCACATGACTTTTCATGTTTACTGTCCCCCTTATCTATGTGACCATGGTATTTTGAAAAGTGAAGGCGATAACGAGACAAAATGTGACACAATTTGAGTGGCAAAAAGCATTCTATTGGCTCTTTTACTCTTAACAAGATCATGGTAGTCGTTCATGTCAGGTCTATTATAGCTTCAATATAAGTTGGATTCAAAGTATGTACAACTCAACACATCAACTGTTGGTGTGTACTACTACTCAGTTCTGTCTATCATGTAGTGTTCAGCGTGAATCTGAAATCAACTATGGTATGTTCTACTGCTCAACATTACAATATTACCGTTTTCCATTACTTTTACCAGTACCAATATTAAATAGGGCAGGATGTAACACAAAAAGATCATGTGATATTTTCAGGTTATTGGTGAAGGTGTGACACCAAGATCTGGACAGGTAATCAGTGTATCTGAACAGCAGGGTATGACGACTGTAAAGTTTGATGAATGTCCCAATGATACAACCCCTAAAGCCAGTGATACGCTGGAGGTACCGGTGACAAGACTGAGGCCCCCTAAGAGTGAGGTAAAAACATCATTGATATCCATGATGACTGTTACATTTCAAGTATAGTTTTCATAGTGAGAAGATAATGAGGTGTTTTGGTAGATGAGTAGATTGATAGGCCCTTTGTGCAGACAGCTTTTTATTTTCATTCTAAATTTGGATAGACTGGATAGTGACACAGTATTTTTATTTCCATTTAGCCGTTGCCGTTGGAAAGATTGTCTATGACTGAAAAGGTTGCCATTGCATTGCATTCCCTACTTCTGCCAACCAATGATAGTGGACTGTCGCCGCTTCAGACGAATTTACCAGCCACTGGGGATGGATCGTCAGCTGCCATGGCAACCTGTAGGATATTAGCTGAAATACGAACAAGGTTAGTTGCTCCTATGTTTGCTGTATGCTGTATAATTCCCTGCAAAATCTGTTCCTATGACTCTTTGAGTGTGTACGTCAAGGTATTCTGGTGATAACCTTTTTACTGTAAATCTTATGTAGCTGGTATTCTGTGAGAGATAACAAGCCAAAAATGTCAGCAGAAAACACATTTTGTTACATGATGCATTGTTGATAGGTAAAAAGTGTGCATATGATGCAAATTTGAATATTGGAACAAGTGCAAATGCAATTATCTGTGCACACTAAATTATATTGTTTTAGGTGGTATATTACAATTAGTAATATTGTATATGGCTTAATTATTAGTTTGTTTTGTTGATTGTTAAATGTTCTATACTAAAACCCAGTTTAATGTATTGTTTCCTTCAAAGATCAGTGCTTTCAAAACCTCTTGTATATTTCTATATTTCTGCAACATCAAAACCTAAAATTAAACCCAATGAATATATCGCCCCCGTATACAGTAACACTCAAATTTGCTATGCTTTCCAGGGCATGTATGGTGCTATCTGCTCATATGAAGGAAACAACGTTTGCTGCTGAGTTCATCAGACAGAGCACCAGACCTATGGAAGTACTAAAAGCATTAGCACAGCAATGCAGCTCTGGTGAGTTTTAAAGCTAACAATGTGCTAGCCATGATTACTCAATGCTCAATAGTGCTTGTCAGATATTGTCATATTAGTTTATGTTCTCTGTATTAAACTAATTGCTCTTTATGTGGGATACCATTTCCCTGCTATATCCCTGCTGAGATTTTTGCCACAGTTCCTGAATCCCTGGCATATTCTACGGTTAAAACCTCCTTTTAATTTTTAGGTGAGAGATTGCCTGTTATGGAATGTGAATGTGAAAGACTTAGAATGCTGTACAGAGATTGTGCAAGACCACCACCCCCACCAAGTAAGACAGCCGGCAGAAATGTGAGTAGTCATAACTATTAACGTTATGTTATTTCTGTTTGAAATCTACCAGCCAAACTATATCTATCTGTTCCTGCTTTTGAATGAAATCAATATCAAGGTACAGTCTAAACTAGACATTTGTTGCTACATTTTATGTTGACCAATTCGCTTTGCATCCCCAAGCAACTTTTGTATGTACATTCTTGTGTTCACACTGTTGTATGTTTCCTTTTTTGTTCACTAGAACCGTGAAATCACGTGGGATCCATCACGTACGTTTCCACCAGTACGAGCATGTTTATTTTCACATGCTTTGTCTGGTATGACATTCCTTGGAGATCCCAGTGCTGGTAGTGGTTTACCCAGAGGTACTATGGCCTATGCTACACAGTCAATTCCCTCACAGGTCAGTATCCACACAACATATGTATATTATCACACATGCTGTCTGGTATGATATTCCTCATTTTATGTACAATTATTATTGATAGAAACATTTTGTAATAATCAAAGTTGCCATGTATAGTTTGTAGTTTTTGCGAACAATGTGTTTCACATGTGTTGTATGTATCATGTATGAGCCCATATTGAATTCAATGCAGTGTGATGATTGACTGTAGTACTTTGAATATAATAAATATCATAATGTGATAGAAAAAGAAAAAAAATCTTCAAACTACTGTGATCGCATGAATGAAAGGAACACCTAATTAACAACATCATCAGCAAACTTGCTAAGGAATTGCCTGTGCTGATTCAAACTGGCGTCTGGAGATCGTTATCAGATTAGGCCAATTTAATCCAAAAAATGTGGTCCAAAATTAACAAGGAACTTACTGAGTAATACATTAAAATGTGGCATCCACAATTTGGTAAATAAATGGAAAAAAAAATGAACATAAATTATGTAATATTCCTACGTATTGATTCCAGGCACCATCGTTTTATTGGGAATTGGAAATATGCTCTTATGGTGAATCAGGAGATGAGTCTGGACCAATCATGTCGTTTGGATTTGCTCCTGCCGCTGATAGAAAAGATGGTGCATGGACGAATCCTATCGGCACTGTATTATTTCATAAGTAAGTCAAGATTCGGTCAGGTTTTGTTTCTAAATTTTAAGTAAAAACATTCATATTCATATTTAAACTAATTTTACATATAATATATCAACTAAATGCTGACTGTGAGGCTTTGGGTTAGTGTACAGAGTATTGTACAATAACAGTTGAACAAGCTGATTGTTTTAAATTTATTGAATTAATTGATTACAAATATGAATGAGTGAGTAATGGGAATGTGAAACGTAAATTCCATAATCAGATTCTTGCATCCAATCAATGTTTGGTTAATTGTAGTTGTGCTGTGCAAAGCAGCGTAAAACATTGAATCAAAAATCACAGGAAAGTTGAACTCATGTGATAGTTTGCATACAGTAAATACAGTTTGACGTAGTGTTATGTCTTGTATCTCCATAATATAGATTATTAGAAGACAAGGTTTGGTGTTTCTGAGTGTCATCAATCTTGGTGTTACCAATCAAACTGCTGGCATTAATATTAATCAATACAGTTTCATAAATGTCTTTGGAAATTGATTATACTTTGTGAATAGTTTGCCCAATGCAATCCAAAGTCTGTGAAAAATCTGTGAAAAAAAATAATATGTCAATAAACATGAATTACGCAGATTATAAAGTTGATACTCTATGGGCAAAAGTAAAACATGACCATTCAATTTAGAAATTTCTTTACTGTTTACTGTATGTGGGTGATAAAACGTGTACTTTCTGAAATAAAATCTTTTGCACCTTCACTCTATGAAACTTTATTGATCTCAACCGTAACACAGATCTAACATTTAATCGCCAAAGACAGCCTTGAAACTTACTCTTTATGCTGCAATGAGATATTGCAACTTGGTTGACAACCATCTGACGGCACTGTCTCGGTTTAATAGCCTTTAATCTGACTTGTTTGCAGCAATGGTCGTGCGGTTCATTACAATGGCTCAAGTCTACTACAGTGGAAGAGCGTTCGTTTAGATATTACGTTAAATTCCAGTGATATTGCGGGATGTGGATGGGAACGAGATGGTGACGTGCCACCATTACCAGGTCAACAGGTCAAGGGTCATGTATATTTCACTTATAATGGTAAAAGACTACCTCCGACATTGGATGATGTGTCTGGTGGTCTCTGGCCTATTGTACATATGCAGAAAAAGGTAAACTTGTGTTAGTATGTTGAAAAAATAAATTTATTCTCATCAAAGATTTAATCCTTTTTCAATCTTTATTTATTTATTATATCATGTATAATTATCTGTTTTCTGGTTTTGGTGAATTTTGGTCAAAGATAATTTCTGTAATCTGTCTATGAATAGTATATTATTATCTTGATTAATGTTTAATTTTCAGAACACTCGCATCCGAGCTAATTTCGGTTCTCGGCCGTTTGCATATGCAGAAGGTCGACAGCATCGTAACGCTGCAGATGAGTGTTCAGATCTGACAGAAGAAATCAGCGCAAACTTTGGGGCCCTGCCGTTCCACTTAGGGGAGGACAGCGATAATGAAGGCATCTCGATGGAAGCTACATCCGAAATGATATCTAATGCAAAAGACTTATCACCTGGAATGCCATGTAAAGTGATAGAAACATCCAAAGAACTGAAAGGTAAGAGCATACTCTGTTTAATACTCCAGATTTGGGTGCAAATTCTGAGTCTTATACATCACTGGTGGAAGCTTGTTATCTTTATGAAGGCAAGCAATGTTCATTTACTGTAGACTAAACCCCTATTGTTAACATATGACTGACAGAATTACACATCTTATTGTTCACTCAGAGTACGACACAGACACATCTCTCTACTACAAGCTACATCAGAGTTATGACAATTTCACCAGCACAGGACCCAACATTCAGTCCATCAGTTCTACAGCCACCCAAGATGATGACAGTGATGACGAAGACGTGGAAGACGAACCTCATGAGGATCACCATGCCTTGCTTGTCAAAGCATGGGAGAGTAAAGTGTTTCCTGTTATTAGAAGAAGATTTCGCAATGAAGCTGAGCGAAGATCAGGATTGGAACAAATCAAAGGAGCTCTTCAGCTTGGTATGGTTATACATTATTCCAGAGTGATTACATTTTTTCCCCAGCAGGCACTCCTCGGTTTTCTGGAATATTCCTTAGTACATCTACATGTACTTGCCTATCTGTTACCTGATATATGTAACATGACCCAATTCTACAAGCTTGGTGGTTGAACTGACTGGGAGTTGTGGACCAAAACATAAAAAACTTCTTATAAGGAGGAGGTGCATGGGTTAAAACCCTTCCACCATCAACAGTAAGAAGGCTGTTCCTAACAGCAGCATGGCACAAATACTATATATGCTGGGCCCAGTGCTTTAAAATTGTACTTCTGACTCTAAGCATGTCATGCACAAAATGGATTTCAGGCTGAGTGATTTTAAGATCTGGGGACTAGACTGAGATTAAAATAAAATGATTCGTTTAATTTCCCCAGAAAACCCTGTAAGTCATTGTGAAAGTCCTTTGGAGAATTAAAAAATCTATGTGGAAAACAATGTGTCGTTTTAGTTTGTTGTGCCAAAATTCTTTTTGTTTACAAGTTGCAGCCAGCGTGCTTTGGCTACCTCTGAATGTAGCAGCAAGTAATATGTTACTTTTGTTTACTTTTTAAGGAATGACGGATATTGCAAGACAGACTGTCGAGTTCCTGTATGAGGAGAATGGTGGTATGCCCAGAGATCTCCATCTGCCAACCATTGAAGACATCAAAACTGAAGCTGCAAAGTTTACCATTGAGCGAGTCAGGAAAGGAACTTCGGTTGTGATTCGGCAACATACAACTGAGTCAGTATCTGCCGGCACTGTGGTGCCTAAGTTTGCTGTGAGAGGCATGCTGAAGACATTTGGTCTGACTGGAGTGGTACTGGATGTTGACTCAGTAAGTTGACACTGCCTCTATCATGTACTTTTATTTTCTTTTAAAGCGAGGGAGTCGTCACCTGTGCATACGTCTGATGGCCATAGCGCGTCATTGTTTACAAACAAGTGTCTACCCATGAGCCTTTATGTTTTTAACATGTGTTATTATCATCGCTTGGGACTTCCTGTGCATGCGCAGGTGACAACCCTTTCGCTTTAAATGGAAAAAACGTAAAAAAAAAGCTTTTTTTTTTTAATTAATCTATCTAATACTATGCTAAAATTAACTCTCGTTTTATTTTTCAAACGTGTTGCATGTGAATTCATTTGAACATGTATAGATTTGAAATACAAATTTCAGGATTAATTCTTTTGTTGAGACTGCCCTTCCCATATACCCGGTATATTAATTAAATTTTTCAAATTACAATGTAAATTATTAATTCATGCCAAAATAATTAAAATTGAGTTTGTACATTTGTTTCCACAGCACAGTGAGTTGGTTCAGGTGGAGACTTACCTACGCAGTGAAGGGGTCTTAGTAAGATACTGGTATCCTATAGATATGCTAGAAAGACCACCACCTGGCTATAGAAAGAATTCAACAACAGGACTCTCAAATATAGATACCTCCAATTTACACATTCACAGGTAATTAAAACTGCATGTCAAAACTTTGTTAGTTTATGAGAAAAAAAAATAGATTAGTTGCTGATGCAACATTTTCTCATCTTTTTTTCCCCATATGTTCTGTATTAGTAGCACAGGACAGTTGACAGTTGTGGTCAAAATAAGTTGTTTTTTGCATGGGGTCGATTTCAACTACTATAGAGTAATATTTTTCTGCTTGGAATTTATGCTTCGAGTGAAAATAAAATTCAGTGAATATATTTTTTCTCACATTCAATACGTTCAATTACCCACCATCGACTCCGGTCAGTCAAAATGACCATTTTGAACTGTAGGCATTAATCAGCGATTCTGCCAGTGACGGAGAGATAGAATCCAGGTCAGGGGAAGCCCCATGACCTCAATATTCTTTTACCCCTTACGTCACGAACCCACGTGACCGAGGCCACCTGGCGGCGCCACAGGTAGCCATCCATCACTCTTATTTTCTGTCCGCCTCGAGTGGAGATGAAATCTAGCGAGCTCTGCTGGATCGCCTGCTTTTTTTTTCTGTCCGGTGCAATTAGCCTGAGCCACACCCCCTAGTGTCGCCTGGCTCTCTTGGCCAGGGCCACTACCGTGTTACGAGACACGGCCTTAGACGCACGTGTTTTCACCGTGTTTCCTCAGTGACGCAGACTGGACATCCTCCACCCTCTTTGTTCAGGGAAAGGTGGGTACAGTCTTGGAGCTTCAGAGTGCAATGAACCAGAGGGTTCAGATCGAATCCGCTAGCCAGTTGGTCCTGCCATGGGCAAACGGAGGGCACCCCATGCACAGAAAACACAACGCCCTTGGGCGTCGTCTGCTAGCCAGAGTCAGCCAGGAGGCAAGCGCTTATACCCTTCCATGGACGTCTACCCGGCAGCAGGGGAGGCATATTTGACGCTCACCTCTGCAACCGGGGGGGACAGGCACGTGTTCGGTGAATGGCCAGGTCACAACTTAGTGACTACTTCAGGCCTTGGGGAACTCACCTCATGGGGAAGTGAGCAACCCCCCCCCCCCCCCCCTCGCAACTGCCAAACACATGGCCACATATCCCTGTCGTACACAGATTGCGCCGGTGTAGTCCGGTTTGGAGACGGCGGGTGACCGACCCCTGGACCTTCCCAGGTGGTGACATCCGTTTACGGGATACCGCTGAAATCTCCATTTCCCCCCGTCAGTGTCTCCCCTGTTGGGCACTGCCAGGGGACTCCCGCAAGGCGGAAGTAATCAGACAGGAAGTAGCAGTTTGCTGGGGAAAGACGCCATACACAGGGTACATCATCCGGAACTAAGGCCAGGCTTCTACCCAAATGTGTTCATAGTACCAAATCTACAAGTGGCAGGTGTCCAGTTTTGGACCTAGGCAGACTGAATCAGTACGTGCTCCTCGATCGGTTCCACATGGAGACACCATTCAGGGTTCTTCTCTCCATCCACCGTTTTGACTGGCTAGCCCCGCTAGACTTAAGCGGGGCCTACCTGCACGTACCAATGCATCCAGGGGAGTTGTCATCTCCTTCGAATTGCCCAGCCTGAGCCAAGTATTCAAATTTCGGGTGCCCCCCGTTCGGGTTAGGCAGTTGGTGTCCCTGGGCATGGAGTTTTGACACAGAGGTTAGCTTGGCTTAGCTTTTTCAAGCGTATTGCTTAGCGCTAAGCAGCCTAGCCGAATGCCTAGTCAGCGTTCCCTCGGTGAACTAA